TCCAACTCCCCCCACCCCGAACACCAGACACACACACCCCGTGGTGTCTGTTTGTCCGTCTGGGATTTGTGTCCCAGTTGGTACTGCCCAGTATGTAAATATTTATGGGGGCCTCAGGCGGGAGGTGGGGGTATCTGAGTCTCTCTCTCCCTTTCACCAGCCCAAACCGAGCCGAGCGTTTCCCGAAAACTTTTGAAACTTTTGTCCGCGGTGAGCCTCTGCAAGACCCAGCCTCTCCCCTCCCTCTCGCCCCTTCTTCTAGCTCGCCTTCCTCTCTTCCTGGCCTGGTCAGATCCTGCAATCTCCACTCTGCAGGCTGACACACACACACACACACACACACTCATCACACTTGTCTCCACCTAGTACCCACTAACCCGGGTGAAATGCCCCATTCCCCCCACGGGGTCTGTATCCTACCCTGGATTCCCGCCGGAGCCTTCCAGCCGCACTGTGGCTCTCAGTCCATTCACCTCACTGTACACATTTGAAAACTTAGACTTACGTCGAAGACAAGGTCAGGGAGAAGTCAGGAGCATGTGGGATTTGTTGAGGGAGGGAATGGGGTGCAGGAATGTGAACCCAGATTTCATGGCTCTAATCCCACCTCTAGGTCAGTCTCCGTTTGCTTTCCTATCCTCCCCCTGTCTTTCTCCCTCTTTGATTCTCTGAATAATGAAGATCCTAGCCCTGGACCTCTCACACTCCCTCCCTACGTGGCCTTGGATGAGTCCCTTCCTCTCTCAGGCCTGTCTCCACATCCGCCCACAGGGGCTAGTCTGTTTTGAAAGGCTGGTCTCAGTTCGGCTGGTCTCTGGGTCTGTCTGGCACAGATGCTGGCACCACGGCCCCCAGGACCATGGAGGTGGGGGGGTCTCCTAAACTGGAGTGAGGACAAGTGAGTGAGTCTGGCCAGGGGCCAACACATAGTTGAGACTGTGTTCTGCTGTGTGTCTTTGCTCACCCTCAATTCCCTCCTCTCTCTGTGAGGGCCCCTGGAGCAGGGATTTGTGGGTACTAAGCTCCACCAAGAACTGGGCTCCATTAGCTTGAAGAGAGAGCTAGGGGCAAGGAGCTGGAAAGGGTCTTCTTCTGTGTCTGGGAGCCTCCTCTCTCCCTCCCAGCCTCTCCCCTTGTCCATTCTTTCCCAGCCTCCTGTTTCTTCCCCATCCTCTCATCTTCCCCTGCTTTCTTCCTCGCTTTATCCATTTACTCTGCTCTTTCCTCCACCCTCCTCCTTCCACTATGCCCTCCCCTGCCTGATCCATTCTCAGCTCCAGCAGGGAGAAGAGGGGGCTAAAATGTGCTCAGGGCTGGGGACAAGGTTCAGGGTGGGCCACTGGGAGGATTAAACTCTGGACTGTAACTTAAGGCCCCCCAGCCCCTCAGCAAGCCCCCCAGTCTGGGCTGGGCCAGACAATACTGCTTTCATAACATGAGAGGCTTTGCTCTGCCGCCGCCTTGGGAGAATAAGCCTGCTGCCCAGGAAGCCCAAACCGCAGGAGACCCAGCCAAAACCCCACAGACGCCTGAATCCAAGACCAGAATCCCCCACGCTCCCTCCTGAGCACTGACAGAACAGCAAGGCCACAGCGCTGCCCCTGAGGGGCCCTGCTGGCAGAACAGCCAGGGAGCACGTAGGCCCCTCCCTCAGCTGCCCAAGATGCAAATGGGGCTCATTTGGGGACTCGGGCAGCTCTGCCTGGGGCAGGTGGCCAAGCCCCTACACCCTTGGCTCCCCCAGTGGCCTCCTCCCCACCCACCCCTGAAAGCCCCAGGAGCCTGGCTCCCTAACCCACAGCAGATTTCTGCCCAGCACTGGGGCATTGCATTCCTGCTCTTGGTTCTAAATTGAATTTCCTGGGGAATTGGAGCCTTTAGACCTAAAATAAAACGAACGCGACCCAGCCTAACTGGCCAGCCCAGGTCCCCCGAAGTCCTCAGCCTGGTGGCCAGTCAGCTCACATTAACCATGTGTGCATCAAGAGAGTCCACGTTCTCCAGCCTTCTTGGGGTTCAGGGCCAGATGCTACCCTAATGCTTGACCCTCCCTCGTTCTCTCTCCTTCCCCTGACCTGGGGCATTCCAGACTCTAAAACTCACCAGCAGACATTTGCTGAGTGCCCACTGGGGATGCAGACATGAATACTGACACTGCCCCCCAGCCTAAGGGGGTGACTTGGTGAGGGTTATAGTCTGGTTGAGGAGCCAGGACTTCACTCCCAGGTCATAATGAACAACAGGGGACACTGAGTGCTAAGTTCTCAACAAGTGGACCTCTTGGAGGAGCGACTGTCAGTTTGGGGGTCAGGGAAGTCTTCTGCAGGAAAAGGTGATGCTCAAGCTGGGTCATGAAGGTGAGTTGGTTTTGGGGAGTGGGAAAGAAGGGAGGTAGGACCTTCTGGTCAGAGGAATAGTATAAGCATGCGTGGACTGGTCAGAAGGCACTGTGGTGGTCCAGGTCCTTGGAGAGATCAGTTTGCCTGGAACACAGGATCCTTGTACACTGATTAGATTGAAGATGTAGGCAGAGCCCTTTAATGCCAGGCTAAGGAATGATTGAAGTGTGGGGTTCCAGCCACTACTTTCGGACTAGATCAAGTCCTAGCCCTCACTCTCCAGAGCTGGTCGGAGCACCAAGGGGAAAGCCCATATCCACTGTCCACAAGGACAATGGAGACGGCTGGACTTGAGGGACCAGGCACTGGAGGTCCTGAACATGGGCATCTCTCCATCCCAGCCAGGGGCCTGGTGACTGGGCACTGTCCAGGCTTGGAGTGAACCCATCCCTCCTGGAAGAGGTTTCTCTATGCTTCTAGGCCCAGGACTACCCCTTAACTTGGTGGCAGCAGGTAGCAGGAGCCTATAAGTTCTCTGCTGAGGTTGTGGGTCTCTCAGCCTTTCCTCTTGGGCTTATAGATTTAAACGTGACTCTTCCATTCCCTTTCGAGCTGTCTTTCCAGAAATCGGGGCATTGAGCAGAACCTTAGCTCATGTGGGAGTATGAGAGTTTCATGGCAAAGGGGCTGCTGCCTTTCTGTATTTTCTCCTTGTGGAACCTTGAGAGGAGGGGTGCAGGGCTAAGGGCTTCTGCTGAGACACCATCAGCATGTATGACACCTTTGTGTGAATTAGAAAAAAGTGTCCCCCCCCATCAGATGGAGCAGGTATGCAGCTTGGGTAAGCAGATGGCACCTACTGGAAGGAAGGAGCCCCAACCAGGAACTTCAGACCCACCCACCTCACCCCTTAAGCAGGCGCCTTTATGCAGGACATGAATTGCACATCCACACAGGGACCCTTCTTGGCCTTTACTGCCACCCCTTCCCTCCCTCCAGCCCCCTCCACATTTCTACCCTCTTGAATGTCTCTGTAGAGGTTTCTCTTTAGAGATGTTCCCCCGACTCTGGCTCGGCAGTGGTGCCTCTTGGTCACAAAGAGGAGAACTGGGCTCTTCTGGCCTCTTGATGTGTGAGCACTTGGGCTCCACCTCCTGCCTGGCTTTCCTGCCCTGTCCACTCCAAGCCCGTGCTGTCTCCTGGGCCAGTGTCATGGGATCTAGGCTCCCTGTGACAGTTTTCCCATTTGTAGGTCAGGTCTTCCTGTCGTTACTTATTCCTTCTTATTCTGCTCCCATGTCTCTGGGCACTTGGCACAATTTCCTCATCTGTCCTTGGTGTTGCTACCTCAGCTGCCCCTCCCAGCTTCAGGAGGTCTGGCCCTCTGTGTATTTCTAGCTCAAGATACTGTACTTGGTTCTCTTTCCTCCCTGGTTTCCCTACAAGGGCTGATGGGCACCCTAAAGTGGCAGACTTCCTGTAGGAGGAGCCGCCTTGGGCCTGGGTCTCAGCTCTCTCTGCTATCCTGTTCCACCCAAATTCAAGGCCAACAGTCCTGTAAGTGAAGCATAGGAGAGGCTGCCCTAGACAGTGGACACATTGAGTGAAGAGGGCTGAGAAGGGGACTCCACTCTCCCTAAACCCTCTTCCTTGCCTTCCTCTCTCTCCCACCCTTGGGGGCCAAGAGAGCAGAAATCCTGGCTCCCTCCATGACAGAATCGAATGCTATCACCCCGTGCACCCTGGTAACCTCAGGAGAAAGCCTGGAAAATAACCACCAGGCCGGCCATGCACCAGCTAGCGTTCTAGGCTTGCCTGCCTCAACTCCACCAAAGGCCTGTGGTTTCTCTCATTCACTCAGCAACTGTTCACTCCAGGATCTTGGTTCCTGCTGCTATTCTTGAAATGCCCTTTTCCTCTTTTTTGCTAATTGTTCAAGACTCAGTGTGGATGTTGCCTTCTCTAGGAAGCCTCCTAGTTACTCCCCTACTCCCCATCTAAGCTAAATATCCATGTTCTGTGCTTCCACAATTCTTATAGATAAACCAGTGGTCGTCAAGACAACTCTGATTCATGCCGACCCCATGTGTGTCAGAGTAGAACTGTGCTCCACAGGGTTTTTAATGGCTGATTTTTCAGAAGTACATGCCCAGGCCTTTCTTCCAAGGCACCTCTGGGTAGATCTGAACCTCCAGCCTTTCTGTTGGCAGCCAAGTATGTTAACTGTTCGCACCACCCAGGTTGCACCATCCATAACTCTTGCCTCTCAGTATATGTGACAGCCTCACTCCCCACCCTATCAGAGAACTCCTGAGGGATGACCTGGTCTTTCTCATTTACTTGACATATTGTCAGGGGCATCATCGGTGCTAAATAAATGTTAAACTAAACAGCACAGGAAGGAAGAAGGAGGGATGGAAGGTGGGTAGGTTGGTTCACAAATGACCCCCTGCATGCCAGGGCACCATCTGAGCAGTTCATTTTCTCCTTGAGACCCTGAGAGAGAAACGTTAGGATCCTCCTTTACACATAAATCCTGGTGACTTGCCTGAGCTGGTAACTAGTAAAAACTGGGGCTTGCATCTTCCAACTCCTCACTCAGGCCTTTTTCATTCCACCGCAGGGGGCAGTCGGGACTCCTGGTTCAGGGCCTGGGGCCATGGCAAGATACCCCTGGGGGCCAGAGTGTGAGGCTGGGAAAGAACCCCTCCCTTTATGGGAATTAGGACTAAAGCCTGAGCCTCCAAAAGTCATGTCTGAGCTGGTGCAGACCAGACTCAGGGCTGGGAGAGGTGCCATTTAGCAGGCAGCACATTCCTCCTTGGGTGTCATCTCCACCTGCCTGCTCCACCTTGTCCTTGATAACCATATGGTCTGGGAAGAGCTAACCAAAAGGTTAGCGGTTTGAACCCACCAGCTGCTCTGCAGGAGAAAAGACCTGGTGATCTGCTCCTGTAAAGAATACAGCCTAGGAAACCCTATCGGCAGTTCTACCCTGTCATGTACGGTTGCTGTAAGCCAGAATTGACTCGTTTCGATGGCACACCAACAACAATCTTTAACCCAGGTGGTGAAGGGGGAACTCCACTGTCTGGTCCCTCATACTTCCATTTTGTTGGTTGCTTCCTATGATACCTCCCTGGAACCCTACCTAGGACCCGGCCCATTGTCACGTTCTTGGAATTGGACTGTCGCACCCCCTGGGGTGTCAAGGTGCCTCCACAGAAGCTTCTGGGGCCAGGTTTGCCTCCCTCCCTCCACAGCTGTGTTACCCTCTGCTGGCCTTTCGCTCTTCCCAGCTGTCCCTCTGTTTACCACTTTCCCTGCACTTTCCCATCTTTGGACCCTCCCCCCTGCACCTGTATCCTCTCCATTTCTTTTCGGTGGACCTCCCTCCCTTTGGGCTCTGCCTCAGTTGCTTTCATGAAGACAGCCATTTGCCTAGTGACTCTCAGGCCCACCCACTCCCTGAGCCCTGTGGCCTCTCTCACCCAGATCTAGGAATAAACCTGAGGGTGAAGGAGGAGAAGATGGGCCCTTCCCCATGGCAGAACCTCAGACAGGCCAGAATCAGCCACCCCCTCCAAAAGACTGACCCCTGCTGATGTGCCTGGCCCAGACATCCCTCCACTCCTTCCTTTCTCTCCTTCCCCCTACCCCCCACTTCTCTTGTAGTCGCTGGCTGGGCTCTTCTGTCTCCCTGCCAGCTCTCAGGGCAAGTCAGGTACTCCCAGGTGTACTCACTCCCCTCCCGGGACCCCACCACCCCGCTTTCCTGCACTTTCCCTCTACTTCAGGCCTTGGCACCCTGTGGGCTGCAATTTGGGCTGAAGCAGAGGCCTCTAGATTTGGGGCTCCAGACCCAAAGAGCAGAAGGGGCCGAGGGAACCACCCCCATGCCTCTCTGGGGCAGCAGTGGGCACCGTGGGGGGCTCCCAACAGGTAACTCTGCTGCCCGCCAGGTGTCCCAGGAGCCCCAGCCCTTCCCTTTCCCCTGCCCCAACTCCTGTCTCCAGGCAGGGCCTGTGGTTTTCCCTGGCAGGTGTGAGCATGCTGGCCTAGGCCTGCCTCCCTCTGTGCCACTCACATGGGGCCTCTGTACCCCCACCGTGTCCAGCCAGGGGGGACTTGGATCTTTGGAACAAGGATTTCTCAGGGGTCCTTGAGGGCCAGAGGTCACACAGGAATGCTCAGGGCCTATGGAGGAAGTGGAGCCACTGGGTCTTCCCCTCAATATGCAACGCCCCCAGACCTGCGTGCCCAAGCCTTTCCTGATCCCTCTAATTATCTCCCTTCTGTTCTTTCTCTCATTTGGAGACAGCTCAGAGAAGGACAGGAGCCCTGGTGGCGCAGTGGT